CATCATCATCATCATCATCATCATCATCATCATCATCATCATCATCATCATCACCATTGCCTTTCTCACCCTGCATCAGGTTATAGATTACGAACAAACACTTTCAACCTTTCTCTATCCTGGGCAAGCTCCTTGATGTTATTCCATGTCTTCCTACTCTTCTGTATATCAATTTCGAACAAATGAGTACCGGTAGTTTGAAACATTACTTTTTACGAAGTGAAAACGAATATCTCTAAAATTTGTCTCGAAACCTCAATAACCACTGTCAATGTCTACGCCCTTGAATGTACTATAGGCCTGTTTCTATGTAATCACATAGCAGGCTGATATTGTTTCTTTTCCAAGACCCTGCCATACATGACATGCCTTTATCTTATCTCACTGCTGTCACGATACGGTAAGACCGTTAAGGTATGGGGCAATAGAAATTCCAAGAAGCTCAATGCCGAAGAGTAGAGAAGGGGTGAGCTCACATCTCACTGCCTCAGAATTACAAAGTTCTATTTGACATTTTTTTACCGTTTGGAGTTAGTAGGTCAGAAACCAAATCTTCAATCTGCTCTATTAAAATCGTAAGAATATTCGGAGTCGTTATCAAGATATTCAAAGAAATGTAGGCCTACTTGAAAAGCTTAACATGATGTGAAACTCACAATTTTTAACGACAAATTTCCAATACTAGGTGCTGAGCAGATAGAGCATTGTAGTTTTGAGATAAGGGAGCATTGAACATACACGGTATTTTGATAAGATAAGATAAGATAAGATAAGATAAGATACATCTTTGTGTAGTATGATTTCTGAAAAAATATATACTTATACAAGTTCTTTATTTTAAGTCACCTGGTAAAGGCAGTAGGTTCAACATAAGATTAAATCTATGCATTCATGAAGAGAAGGAGGTTGCAAAGGTTTTAGGTGTTTTTTTCTGTGAATGTGACAACTCTTAAAATTCTTATCAACACCATTTGTAAAAATGGTCGGTGTAAAAGAAATCAAAAGGTATTGCGAGGACAGGGAGTCTTATATTATCTTAGAAAGGTATATTCAGGACCAAAGAATGTCTGTGTATATTGGGGGGCGGGGGGAGGGGGTATATTCCGAGGTTGGGTATGCTCAAGGAAATCACATCATCTGTCTTGAGTCTTGCAGAGATTTCGTTGTCACACATGACAGATAAAAATCAGCCCGAACTTATGTTCTCATCAAACTATGCGAGGTCAGCCCAGTGTTGTTAAAGTCAGGATATGGGGACGATCGGAATGAGAAGACACCTGACAGATCATTAAAGAAGGTAACAAGGTGGACCAAAAGTTTTGCTTCCAGAGAATAGAACAACAGTGGATGTATTTTCATGGATGAGCGAACAAACAATAAACCGTCATGGTTTACAGTAACTTCGGGCCAGGTCGCACACCGACAATTGATCTAAATCATTGATCAATATTGATCAAACGTATCACTCAAGGTGAAGTTGAGACAAAGGGGATTTTAAAAAGAAAAAAACCAAACAGCAGTAACCCGCCAGAATATGAAGACATTACTCCAAATGGGATCAGCATGATTGTTTGAACGTTTATACGCCCCGTAATCCCTATGTCTCCTCTCTACCCTCTCTTTCCCTCCTCTCTCCCCCCTCTCCCCCTCCCTCTCTCTCTCTCGCCTTCTCCCCCTTCCCTTCTCCCCCTCCCTTTTTTTTAGCCCGTTAAATGTGAGGAGAAATCGATTGTGGGTTATTTAACGTGTTATTTTTGCAGGTTTTTCTAAACTTACAAAATAACTAATGTTTACATACTTAATCGATTCTCCTTTTAGAATGTGACATGTAGTGTCCTTTACACTGCAGACAATAGCGCTCCGCTTTCTTAAAGTTTGAGCTGGTGTTACATAGAACTTGCCTCAAGTAGACAGGCTTTCCGGGTCTTCTCTTCTCTGACATTCGACATCCAATGCATGTTCTTATATTACAAATGTGGGGAAAATCGAAGGATGAAGCATTGCTTTGATTTTTTTTTAAAAATCATTATTTATAGGTAAGTTACTTTTAACACATCACAAAGGTTAAGATCAGCAAACCTATGACATAAATATGCCCTAATTTTCGTGTAGTGTGAGTGTTAGTCAATCTTTTCTTCATAATACATAGTTCAGACAATTTCCTTCTCTGCGTTTGTACAATATTCACTTTAAAAAAAAATCCCAATGCAAATATTATTATGTTCCCTCAGTATCTATTATGTTCTCTCAGTATCGTTTTTTCATGCTGTTCTGTTCTGTGAGAATTTATGACTATGTGAATTCATCAATGTGTGCGAGGGTGTTTGGGTAAGCTTTGTAGGATTGTCTTTACTCAAGGATGTACTGGAGAGAGAGAGAGAGAGAGAGAGAGAGAGAGAGAGAGAGAGAGAGAGAGAGAGAGAGAGAGAGAGAGAGAAAGGGAGAGAGAGAAAGACGGTAGAGAGAGAGAAAGAGAGAAAGAGAGAGAGAGAGACAGAGACAGAGACAGAGACAGACTGAGACTAGTGTGTGTGTGTGTGTGTGTGTGTGTGTGTGTGTGTGTGTGTGTGTGTGTGTGTGTGTGTGTGTGTGTGTGTGTGTGTGTGTGAGAGAGAGAGAGAGAGAGAGAGGATTACAAAAGGAGCTGTGCGCGGCATATGTTCTTTGTATTATCGTACAGCGCATTGAGCACTAACTTCTTTGTGGAAATGTGCTGTATAAATGCAATGTTTTTATTATTTATTATCATGTCCAGTCTGCTCTGGATTACGTGAAACAGTCCATGGCTTATCCCACTACAATCGTTATGCAACTTACTAAACTCTTGTCTATCATGAAGCAAATGTTTCTTTAAAAAACAAGTAAATGCTCTGGGCTTTCTCATCTCTTTGAGCTTTGATAACCAAAGGCGGAATCCTTCTGGGAAATATTATTTTGTTTCTGATTCCAACGTTTTGGTTATAACCCTGATAACTGCTCCTTAGGAGACATGCTCATTTTCTGCTGTCTCTTCATGAGCCAGTCATTTACTTCCTATCTCTTTTTCTTTCTTTTCTGTTATGAAACTTTTGCATTGGTTTCACTGTCCCATCAACACTATTATGTGAATAAAAAAGACCATTGAAAGCTCCTCAAAACGACCAGAGTTCAAGAATGTCCAGTAGGGGATTCAAACCAGGGCCAATTGCCCCACAGTCCAGCATGATATCAGCTGAGCTAGCAAAGCACCCCCACCCCCCCCCCCCCCGACTGTCTGTATTATTACCATTTCTACTGTTGTACAACCACGTACAGAATTCTTCGCTACGTTCCATATGACAATCTGAAAACCCCGCAGATATGTCGCTTCCGGCAAACAATTTAACAAAATTAGTTTTGGGTTTTCCCCGGTAATGCTGAAAACGTAAATGTGACTCAAACAGGTATGCCTTTAGAAGGAAGCTGTCGAGTTTTGGGCTTCCATTTTATTAGCCATAATCACGGGATGAAGGGCTGAAAAGATGTTATACCTTTTCCTGCATGCGAGAGAGAACAATGCTTGTTCAATGGAAATCGTTAGTTACCTTGGCGGCTGCTTAGGTCGAATTGAGTCAATGTACCCTCGTCCATGATGTTGTCACAAGGAGCAGGATCGTAGTGATAGAACAAATCCGACCTGTTTTTGATATCGTTAGACTTATGCACGTCTCGATGGGCAAACTTGAGTAGGCCGATAGATCACTTGGTACTATGCTAGACTACATAAGAAGGATCCTGGCTCTCATCCCAAAAGGGACATTCTTGAACTTGGGTTATTTTTGACGTTCTCAAGGTTCTCTATCCAGTTGGCTAGGTCTTATTGGAGAACGAAGTTAAATTCGGAGTTCTCTCCTCTTCAATGACTTTACATTTATTTTATATTTCTTTAAAAAGGGGGCAGTTAATCCAAACCACGCCATGCCATGCCGGCGGATATACGTTCTGGCCGGCAGGTAGGCACATAGGCAGGCAGGCAGGCGGGTAGGCAGGCAGGCAGGCAGGCAGGCAGGAAGACAGGCAGGCAGGAAGGCAGGTAAGCACATGCGCTGACAGACAGACAGACAGACAGACAGACAGACAGACAGACAGACAGACAGACAGACAGACAGACAGACAGACAGACAGACAGACAGACAGACAGACAGCAAAAAGGAACCATATTAGTTCGGTTTTTATGTATCCGAACCAGCCTATTTGAGTGTTTTAAACAACTTGTGCATCCTGATCACATAATTTACTTTGGTTTGAGCGTCGGGCCTGATATAGCTCACAAGGAGGTTTCAAAAGCAGAACAGGTGTCTCTTTGATTACAGTTTAAAAGAAGAATAGCATAGATAAACAACGAGCCGGCACTCCAAAGAGCAGATTGGCCACTGGAGCAGTGTAACCTCTTGCTGGTGTACACTGGGCTTACTTATTATCTCCCACTTCCCGTCCAATAAAATCCATTTAGGCCGGGGAGGAAAGTGGTTGGAGCGTTCTCTGAGAAGGACAATAAACGTTGCATTTAAATTGTTGTATTACCGTAGTCTATAGAGTCGCTACACGAATTACAAAGTTAACCGACTATTTTTTGTCGTGTATCTACATGTATTTATCAAATAAGTTGAAACTGCTCTTGCGGCAACCTGTCCAAGACAATCACTTGTACAAACAACCATTCCCTACTTCCCATCTTGCGTTTGTTATTACAATGACTCTGTCCCAAAGAGGACAATCTGTCTAAGATGGCCACTTTTCTCCTCGACAATGGACTGCTGTTGTGAACTGAATTCTTTATTATCAACAATATTCGAGGATACGATTTTGAATTCCAGCCCAATGGTATTCACATATTCTGCCTTGGGTGGCTCCATATGAAACAGATATCGAAGAGATACATACCTTTGGTAAGTTCAAGATTCCTGGGTTTTGTAGTATATCAAAAGAATGTGAGACCACCTAAATTCAACCAACACAGAATCCAAAAGTATCCAACTCAGCAAGGGTTTGTCTCACTATTGTATTGTACGGTCCGGCACTGTAAGGCTTGTCCTCTTTAGATCTCCATAGCCACAAGAGGGCACAGTCGCTGGCTGGAGCAATCCTGCAGGAGTGCAATCTCACTAATCCGGCACTATCCGTCTGCACAGATCAAATAATCCTGTCTTTGGACCGGTGTTCTCACTGTAGGCTTACGTACGTCCAGGCGAGCACTGTGTTGCTTAGACTGCACTACACACAGCTACCAGGAGTGGGGCGACTCGATCGCTCAAAGCTAATGGCTATCAGAATTCAGTCAACCAGCAAATACACAACAAAGCCGAGTATCCGAAGAGCCTCTCCGCTCTGATTTGATCCCACCACACAAAGATTTGCATGTAGAATTACAACTGAACGTATCGGAATTTTTTTTTCAGTCAGCCTGAAATCGATCGAGTTGAGAAGCAAACCGGGCGATCTTTTTATGTCCGCCTTTGTTCACCTGGTCAGGGTTTCGTTCTGGGGTCGTTGTGGTGTAGCGGTGTGTGCACGCCGCCTCTGTGGCAGTATTGACACCCCCAACTCCCGTGATCGCCCGGCTCGCCTTACAATCTAGAGGGTATATTGTGTGCCTTATTGTGCGTCCAGTCGTGGCGGGTGCCAGGCCGGGTTACCGGGCCCAATGTTTGGGCTCCATTTTAATACACCAGCCAGGCTGTAAGAGGTCGCCACTTATGGATATAGCAATAATCTACACACATAACTTACCCTGAAGAAAAAAATCTATAATGGAGAAAATGGCAGATCCAATAAAAAAAATTATCACTTTGACGGTGAACTTGCGCTCAGTACCGCGATTATTTTGCTCTTCGTTTGGAGAAGAAAAGCACTGCAAATCGATATATTGAATCACGACGCGGTGGAATCGGGCCCTTGTCAATTTTTGGGCGTGTGGAGTTATTGATATCATCTTAAAACTTCTTCCTTTTGACTTGCTTTCAAAAGAAAAACGCCCGTTTATCTAGAATACAAGTCGAGATATTTGCAATTGAAGGAGTTGGGGGTCGCCTGATTTCAGAGGTAAAATTTGTGACAAAATGGCTGCCAAATAGAGTTTGGTTATTTCCATAGCTTAAGAGTCTGTGGAAACTGAAAATTTATATTTGTTGTGCCTTAAATCAACGTTTTTAAAGTAAAAATCCATACAGATACCTGTTCTTTAAAGGACATAAGAAATGTTAAGTCAAAAAAAAAAATTCGATAAAAGTGCCAAACCTGCGGGAAAATACAATTTTTATTCACTTTCATTATTCATTTGACGAGCGACTGATTTCAGCACGCTGCCTCATATATTATCAATCGGGTCGATTCTAAGCTGTTGCGATTAGAGAAACAATTCACCGTATAACCGTACACTTTCTACCTCCGCCTTATGAACTTTGCCGTAACGTTTCTGTAATCTTACATGAGAGGCTCTCTGACAATCATTCTGAAGCCCAAACGGTTCCAGGGTGGGTTGTGAACAAGCCTAAGGGATTAGACTGTTGTTCCTGCCAACAATAAATGTCCCAGATGTGTCAGCCAAGCTGTATTTGCTTGTTGATTATATAACTTTATTGTTCTGTTTTTGCTTTGGCCAGTTACATTTTGGTTCAATAACACCTTTTTTTTCTTCTTATTTTTTGGGGTCTTTTACGGCGCTAGCAACTGCACAAGGTCATATGAGCGCGTGGGACACACCCAATATTTTCAGTTGGTAGGAAATTTTGAATTTTGCCCCGGTGGCGGCCGAAGCCTACTCTTATCGATTTTAGACCACCAAGGGATCTTTAACGTACGCAACTTGCACACGGGCCCGCCAACATTTTGGCCCTTGTCCGAGAAGGCTAGGTGTACATCTTTCCTACCAGAAGATCATGGGTGTGGCTAAAAGACAGCAGTAAGAAGGGGCCAAGGAGTAGCAGTAGAAAGGCTGCAGAAAGATTCAGGAGCCCAGAGGAGGGGGCAAAGGAGGTGACGAGGTGGTGGCAGAAAGAGGAGACCAAAGCAGACGACAGAACATTGCTAGAGGACAGGAAAGGAGGTTAAAAGAGTCAATTTTAGAGAAGAAAATTTTTCGGTCGCTACCCGGATTCGAACCCGACACCTTTGAATGAGAGGTGAACACCTTAACCTTTAGGCCATCAGAGCACCCAATAACACTTTGACAAAGGTCTCATATTGGTCAGTAATACAAAATATTGACAAATGATAAAACATCTACCTATCTTATTTTGACCCCACCTACCATTCTTTCCCCCAGCACCCCTCCCCTTGTTTTACTAAAATATGGAAGTGTATATTCCGGAGTAAACATCAGTCCACGGTATTTCCAATTACTATTTCATGCAATGCGCTTCAGTGTTTGCCGTTTTGTGTGATATTTAGACGTTTAGGGTTATTGTGCCTTGAAGGGTATCGGAGGGGAAAGTCAAGCTGAAATAGAATGTGCCACAGGAACATATACAATGGCGCAATTAATCCATCTGAAATTAATTGAACAGAAATACACCAACCATTTTCAAGAACGACCGGCAGAGTATAGAATGCTGTATACCGTACCTAAAAATATACCCCTATTCAACAATCTCTGTTAGACGGCCGTACATTCTGAGACTCACACTCACAAAGTTATCTTGCCACAGCAGCTCAGCAGGGTCTTGAAAAAACATCTACCTCCAAGATCCCGACCGGTCACAAACCAAATAAACAAACAAACAAACGAATAAATAAACAAACAAACAAACAAACAAACATACCGTCCCAAAAATAAACAAACAAACAAACGAATAAATAAACAAACAAACAAACAAACAAACATACCGTCCCAAAAACAAACAAACAAACGAGACAATGTTCCTGTGACACTTGAACAGGTATAAAGTCTCTGAAAATCTTGGTCTCACTGGAAAAACAGAAGGAAAAAGAAGCAGAGGTAGACAAAGAATGATATTCTTTGAGAACTTATAAAGATTGGTGACGTGACAGGAAGGGGCAGAATAGTAAATTCAAAGTTTTTAGAGAGCATTCGTCCAGAAAAACGAGTGCTAGAACATGATTGTTGAAGTCTTATGACAGAAGTTACGAACTCTCGCAGCGTATTCTCATCTCTCGTTGTAGTGACCACTGTCAAATCCCCTTAGTGTTTTTTCTTCTCGCTGACTAGATAATGTAACTAAACCAACTCGTTAAGCGAAGCAACCAATCAAAGGTAAGGTATCTGGACGTCATGCGATTGAAATCTGGATAATCGATGAGAACCACAATGGGGTCGCTTCTCGTTTTGTAAAACACTTCATACGTTCTCTTTATGCCTTGAAATTAACAAAATAACACTTCAGTAGTGTACCATGTTGGGACAAACTTATTAAGAAAACTTACTTTCTAGTTATCCACATTTAATTAAAACGACCCCCGTTTCACTCTCCAGCCAATAAGGTCCCTTGGGTTGAAATTTCAGGACTTACCAAGAGATATGATAACAACAAACAAGGGGTCAAGATCGTACTGCATGTCCGCACGTCTGCAGACAAACTATCACACCAGTTACAGACTCAAGTGTTCTTTCCGAAAAAGAGGATCATTTTAGGGGGCGATATTTCAGGAGCCAGTTTGTGAAAGTCAGAGACTTTGTATAACAACAGCGATACATAAAAAACCAGCGTTATGTTGGTTTGAATAACTCTATTTATTTAGCAACTAGACACACTCGTGGAGATGTTAAACTTTGTGAACTGTGGGACCTAAACAACCCCCCAAAAAAACAACAACAACAACAACAAAAAAACAAACAAAGGCCTATTAATTATAAGAATTAGTAATTGTTATGCTTTAATTAAACTGCATTTGTTTGGATGTGAACATTTAGAAAGCGCACAAGAATCAAAATATTTATGTCGCTACTGTCATTATTATTTTCATCAAAGTGGTTGTTGGTGTTGATTTTTAATCGTAGTCATCATTGTTATTATTTTCTCTATAACCTGTTATCATCGCACGGCGACAGTTTATAATCTCGATGCCCAAAAGTGTATACCCCCAGCCTAGACAAGGTCAACGGTCAAGGAGGTCTCTAACATAAGACAAATGTGCAGCTGGGAGAATACTCTCAACGTAAAACGACAGAGAACAGCATTGATGTGGTCGACAGTTTTTGCCCAGATTTATTGCTCATTTGCTTATTCATCCGACTCCTGTATACACCCCGGAAAGTGACATAGCAGCGCCCATTCGACCATCACCACGATACACACAGCTTTCAGCGTCCCATCGCGGGGTTTGTCTTTCTATGGAGAATCAATTAAGATATGAACCAGCGCGGAGCCCCCCATCTCCTGTCAGGGGAAGAACGATCAATTTCCGGACTCCCAGAACCAAGACGCGGCAACTGTGTTTTCTCTCTAAAACGACGATTCCATGCGATGTGTTTTGCTTGTTCGCAGAAATGTATTTTGCATTACCCCTCATCAATTTCCAAAATGCCATGTGTAAACAAATAAATCACGTGACAGTTTTCTCGCACGCCTGCAGAAAACGAAGGAATGTAGCAAGGAGTGAGGAGGAGGGCCTGGCCTGGCCTAGCCTGCCTTGTTCCAGATAATTGTGTATACGGGGAGCGAGGGATTTGAAAACGTATTTCGTTGCCTCGGCAAATATTTTAATGAGTTTGAAAATAACACTGTTTTATTTGTCCGCTTTATCACGGGAAATACCCGAATCATGGTGGTGGTGTGTGTCAAGCTTTAGACTTTAGCATCTGTGAAAACTAGGGCTGTTACGTTCGTATGTGTGTGTTTATAAGTATTTGTTTACACTTTCGCGTCAGGGAAGCGGTGATGTTGGGGTGAGAAGGGCAAATGTATGACATGTATTATAAGTTCCAACAAGCTGCGACCGAGAAAATGTGTGGATTCTATTAGCCAAAAAAACAACAGCTGAAGCTAAACTCAGACAAGGGTGAAGCACAATTTCCAGTTATGGGATGTCCGTGAAAGTGTATAAAACATTGAAAAATAACAAACTATCTAATATGTTAAAGAAAATATTGAGTATTAGGATGGATAGATAGGCAGATAGCGTGTGTGTGTGTATGTGTGTGTGTGTGTGTGTGTG